TGAGTGAATCCCAGATGTCCAGCCTTGAGCTACTTTGCTGGACTTTGGTTTTGCTTAGATGTGCCCAATTCTTCCCTTTGAAATAAGACAGTATTTGTTTTGGATTTTACAGAAGCCCACCCACAGTTGAGACTTTTAAAAGAGACTATGGACTTTTAAGTGTTTGTATTTTTTTAAGGACTGTGGGGTTTTTAAGGTTGTACTGTCTTTTGTGATATTAATATCATATCTTGGGGACAGAAATTGGAAAGTTATGGTTTAATAGTGATGTTTGTGTGTCAAGTTGACAAGGGGTCAATTGTGCTGGATAGCTTTAGTGTGTCAACTTGACACACCTGGGTTAAGGGAGCCTCAATTGAGGAACTTCCTCCATTGGACAGGTCTGTGGCCATGTCTGTGGGTATTTTCTTGATTGTTGAGTGATGTGGGAGGGCCCAGCCCTGTGGGTAGTGCCACCCCTGGGCAGGTGGCCCTGTATTGGATAAGAGAGCAAGCTGAGCAAGGGCCAGGGGAGCAAGCCAGTAAGCAGCGTTCCTCCATGGCCTGTGCTCCAGCTCCTGCCTCCAGGTTCTTGCCCTGAGTTCCTACCTTGGGCTCCCTGATGAACTGTGACCCGGGAGATGTAAGATTTTAAATAAACCCTTTCCTCCCCAAGTTGGTAGTGGTCAGAGTGTTTTGTCACAGCAATGAAGAACAAACTAAGACAATGCCCAATTTCCTTTCTTTTGAGACAAGGTTTTACTAAGTTGCCCAGGCAGGTTCTGAACTGTAATTTTCCTGCCTCAGCCTCCTAAGTAGCTGGGATTATAGGAATATGTTACCATGTCTGGTTTCAAATATGGAATTATGAACAGTTGTGTTATTTATCAAGTATGTCTTTGCATTATCAGTTGCAAATATGTTATCTCCTTACCACAATATAAAATTCTAAGAACAAAGATATTGTCTCATTTGTCCCTTTATCTTACAGTAAACCAATAAGCATTTTCTGAAAAAGAAATGAATGCCTATGAATAAGTCATGAGATATACATTTAACATTTGTATGCTTTCTATCATATATAATCAGTAAAATTTTAGGAATAAATGAATATATAAGTGGAACAGCTAAGGAACTGCCAAGAGGGTTAGCAAAAGGAGAGATATGCATGTTCAATATGGCTTTCCTGGCATTTCTGAAGAGCTCCCAAAGACAACAAACTCATCAAGAATAGGGATCCATTTATTCCAAGGCAGCTCTTTTACTTGCCAACCTTCCTTAAAGATTTATATTGAAACAGTGGAACTTCTTGGGGACTTACTTTAGCCAAAGACGTAGAGAATAAACAATTGCTCTTACCACTTTCTGCTAGAGCAGCGGCTACTTCATTGAGAGTGGAATAGATGTTGCAGGCAGCCCATCGGCATTGTGCCCCCAGAGCACCCAGAGTTTCCATAAGCACCTATATTAAACAAGAGTCAGGAGATGAAGATGCCTGTATCAAGCAACTGGTCAAGATTAACTTTACTTTTGTTTCATTTTGTTCTGAGACAGGATCTCATGTAACTCAGAAGGACCTGAAACTCCTACCTCCATCTTCCAAGTGTTGTGATTACAGGCATGTACCACCATTCCTGGATAAGTCTGTATCTTTGACAATGAAAAAAATACATGAAAAATAACCTAGGTCAATTATTTTTAAATTGTGCTCTAAAGAATTTCAGTATTCTCAACGAGGGCAGAGTAGTGGGCTCCAGTACACCTGTTTTTTTTCCCCCCAGTAAGATTTAACTAAACTAAGGATTTGAATGGTAAAATATTTTTTTCAAAATATAGACTTATGCTGGGTGTGGTGGCACACACCTTTAGTCCTACCACTCAGGAGGCAGAGGCAGGCAGATCTCTGTGAGTTCAAGGCCAGCCTGGTCTACACAGTGAGTTCCAGGCCAGCTGGGGCTACAGAGAGACCCTGTCTCAAAAACACCAAACAAACAAATCCCACAAAAACCACAGACTTACAATTCTTCTTCTGTTTAGGCTATAGAAAACAAGAGAGTTTTACCATAAATACATGAAAAGGCTACACAGGGCTGGGGATGTAGTTCAGTCAGTACTTTTCTTCTATGTAGGAAGCCTTGTGTCCAATCCCCAATCAGGCATAGTGGCACAGGCCTAGAATCTTAGCACTGGGAAAAGTGGAGGGAAGACAATCCTTTCAAGTATGAGGCTTGAAAGCATGAGGCTAGTTTGGTGTATGAGACCTTGGGGGAAGGGAGCTAGGATCACTTCATCTTTGGCAAAGCATGGGAGAAAAGGGTAGCTGTCACATACAAGGGTAAGAGAAATTAGGTAAAATTTTAATTAAAGATGAAATGTAGGAAAGTATACCATTTAGAATTTTGTGTAGCCTCAACCAAACATAAGATTTCATATTCAGAGGTAAGCTGTTCTCTACGAGTACACACTCAGTGCTCATGGGAAAAACAAGAGGCAAGGAGCTGATTGCTCCAGGTATGAAATCTAGTCAGGTTCTTACACTAGCCTCTCAAAGGAAGCAAAAGTCTTAAACAGTAAATGATTAGAAATTGAGCCTGCCATGAGAGTCCAGCCAAGATCCACTGCTTCTAGGGGAGGATGGAAACAAAGCTGAGAGAGCAGCTCGAGACCCTCCGGAGCCCAGGACAGTTCACTGATACAGAGTAAAGATCTGCTCCCTCTCCCTCTCTCCAGAAAGGACAGGAGAGTATCTTCTGCCAGACCTACCCTATAAAAGGCATATTTTGACTGCTATAGAGGAAAGGCAGGGACACTAAGAGAGCCCTGCCTTTATGGAGGTCTGCCTAATAATTGACTGGATTGGAAAGCCAAGAATCTTGATTTCCCACACCAAGAAGGCTACCCCAAAACAAAGAAGCAGTCTATGGCTGGAGGTGTGGCAGAGCCCCTCTATGGCACACAGGTTGAAAGCTGAGGGTGAAGTGAAACCACTAGGGAAAGTCCTTTAGTAACCTGTAATCACAAGGCAACAGCAGCTCACTGCTGAAGGAATGTGAAGCCTACAGTGCAGGGCACAATCTAAATCACATGCAATCCATGACTATAATAGAAACTAAAAATCTCACTCAAAGACTTAAGACACACACAAATGTAAAACCAAAAACTAAGAACAACAAAAAATTCACTGTCATGGAATTAAAGTGATAAGTACAGCTAGAGCTTTCAGTAAGCCAGATGTTTGGTTAGTCAGGAACTTTAAAATCAGTTATGATTGGATTGGTAGAATGCTTGCCTAGCATGTCCAAAGTCCTGAATTTGATTCTTCATAAATCAGGTGTAGTGGCATATGCCTATAACCCCAGCACTCAAGAAGTGAAGGCAGGAGAACCAGAACCTCAAGGTCATCCTCAGCTACACAGTGAGTCCAAGTTCAAGGCTAACATGGGCTACACGAGACTGTCTCAAAAAATGATTAATAAGCTCTCCGCACCTGGACTCCCAAAGCCACATTCACCCTTCCACCCCCCCCCTCGCCGTTCTATACTCTTAGTTTGGGCCCTGCGACATTCCTAGTCTTGGGGTCCCAGACACCTGGGGAACCAATACTGCTTCCTGATCCTTCTCACCCAGAGCAACTCAGTCCCTTTCTTGGGCTCCAGGAGCACCACTTCTGGTCCTGGCCCCGCCCTCACCTCGCTCTGCTTCCCTGGGCCTGCACCACCGGCTAACTCTCCTAGCCTGCACTACTATCCTCAGGCCTCTTGGGGTAAGTCTATAGCGCAGCT